TTAATCAACCTTACATTTTCAATAAGGACTTTTATGCGAGATCAAATCCTGAATACTTCTGATGATCTCCTTTAGATTAGCCAGTGGTTTGTGTGCCAAAAATTCCAAGGATGCTGCAATAGAAAGTTATATCCCAACCATGGAATGATAACCCACCATTCCAGCAACTATGAGATTAAAGTAAGATCAAACCAAAGGAAAAATATTTTATTATTTCAATTATTTAGGTGGATTACTATTAGAGGGTTTGATAAAAATTGCTTGTGGCCACTTGTATACATGTGTATGGAGATTTATTTCTGTAAAATTTTGTATTGTATTTTATTTTATGTGAAAGGGTTTATTTGACGTCATGTTTGTACTGTTTTCATTTTTGTCTAGAAGTTGCATTGCTATAATTACTATGTCTAATTGGCATTATATCTGACTGGCTATAGAAAAAGAGCCGTAAGAAGCAGGAGAGAGTGTTGACAGGTTTGGTGTGCCCCATTGATCTCTCCCAACAAGTGTGGATGTCCATTGAAATTGATATCTGACACTGTGGGGAGCTGATTACTAGTGCCTTTGTATGATGTAAGTAAGATATAGTCTATTGTTTCTTTGTACTTAACTTTCATTAACAATATTGGTTGAAATTTTTAATATATCTAATTTGTTACTTTTTAATTTTATTTTTTAGCATTATACTTCTATTATAAAGATTGTTTTGCATTGTTAGCCTAATACATGTATTTGAAACTAACCTAAAGCTCCTAAGCTGGCCGAACCTAAGAAGATATTATTAGGATTATAGCCGAATATATTCTTAACAGCGAAAGTACCCATTTGATGAAACAATGCATGATAATCTTTATAAATATGAATGTAAAAAAGTATATTTAATTAGCTATAATCATTACCAATACCAGTTTAATTTTTGTTTCGTACTAAATAGGTAGCTATCTCTGATCAGAAATTTGTATTAATGAGTTTGTATTAAGTGTATCTGTTAAGGGTTTTCAATGTTCTGCACAGAATATTTGACTACCTCTTTTAATATCATACAAATTATCGATAAGTAAACCACATATCGCTGGTCTAAAGGGCTGTATACTATGCTAATTATACATTGTAGCTGATATAAATAGCATTTCGAACTAGACTTCTTGTGTTGTATTTCTAGCTGAACTGATGAGCTGTAACATAAAGTGAAGCCCCCCAGTGGCACAGCGGTATGTCTGCGGACTTACAACGCTAGAAACAGATAGCCCCTGTGTAGCTTTGTGCATAATTAAAAACAAACAAACAAACATAACGTGAAACAATCATCGGCAGTGGTGTGCAGTCGAGATGCTGTTATGTCTCTTATTATTGGAAACTCGTATTATAAAGCCAGTAAAAAAAGATGTAATGTTCCTTATGATGTAATGTCACACAAACTATCGATCAACATGTAATATAGTTACCAATATCAGTCTAAAAATTAGACTTGAATGTTTACACTATCAACAAGGTGATGAAATATAACAAAGGCTCCCAACCATTTTATTCCGTGCTCCATTAGTCAGTCCTTTGAACCAGACTTTATCTATATAATATGTTATAGAATTTTTAAGAATTGTTTCTTTGAATAAAAAGGTAAATAACAAACAATTCAATCGTTGATTACTGGTTAAATGCAGGGGCAGCTCCTGTAACGAATTTATCATTATGTATTTATTTTTAATATGAACGTTGTTTGGATTGAATTTGTATTTAGAAATATGCGTGACTTATAGTATCAGATATGTGTTGCATATAACGAATTTGTTATATATTTATTTTAATGTCAACGTTTTTTCGAATAAGTTTATATTTGAGGGCGTGTCTAGTTTACCTTGTTAGTTACGTATGGCGAAACTCCCGCCAATTCTCCAAGATTGTAGAATATTCGTGAACACAAGAATCAACAATATAACAACTTTCGTAACCGGTATTATCAGAAGGTTCTAGAAAATGTGTCTCGCCTATAAAAACAGCAGGGCAAGAGCAGAGAAGAGACAAGTCTATTATGAAATTGTTATAACCGTGTAAGCTATAAACTGTGATTTTGCTAACCCTTACCAACAGGAAAATATGCGACATTTGGCCAGGAACAGCTATAAATTTCGAACATCAGTGCATTCTCATCAAATGTTAGTATCTTTCCAAGAATATTGCTGGTTTCTCATCGGACATTAGTGGTTTTAGGAAAATATTATTTTACTTTGACGGTCCAACAATTCAGTGCCTGACAAAACTAGCTAGCTTCCCGATACTTGTCGTACATCGACTTCAAGTTTACTCGCTGGATATCAAGGAGACTGTGAACTAGGAAGACGATTTTAGGTTATTTGTAAGTTAGTGAAATTTTTGTTTATGAAAGTTTGTTTGTAATAACTAATCGTAATAGTTGCCATTGTAAATTATATTGTTGTATATATATATTAAAACGTATTTGTGTCAAAACAAAAACGGTGTGAATCAATCTCGTTAGCAAATAACGTAAATTAAATAAAATATTGGCATATTTCTAAACACTAAATCCAGGGTACATTTCAACGAATAAAAGTTAAGTTATTTAACGCAGCTTTGGATTATTTCAAATTCTCAATACCTAACACTCCAGAAATGATTATTAGGTATTATAAGTGCAACTCTTACACTGTTATTAGATTTCCAGATTATTATCGGCAAACTCATGTTCTGTTTCTACAGTATTGTTATGTAACATTTTCATTACTTCTAAATTCAAAAGACACATATGAAAATGTTTTCAACAGTTGACACTAGTCTTCCTATAAACAAATGATCATGAACATTGACTACTATTACTCATTAAATTCTGTATCTCGCGACATTAATTCGACTTTCGAACAACAACTCTTACCTATATTAATTTTCTTCTTTGAATTCAGAATGATCACTGGTCGATGTTTTATGTACAGTATTATAATGTAAATCAATGATGCTTCTATAAAGAAACTGGCAATGTTCCTCATCCTTCAACATTATACTTTACATCATGTTTATTACTTTTTAAAAATCCTGCTTATAGTTCAACCACTAAGACACTAACGTTTGTAAGGTCGCCATATTAAGTCTGCTCAGCCTTGTAAGTCTATCTTAATTTGTGGCTCTGATGGTCTGGGCTCGGGTTGGTTCTGTGGTAGAGCTCTGGATTTCGGAGCTAGCGTTAAATGTTGCAAAATATTCCCTTTACTTTTAAGGTGTAGGTGCATTATAAGAGTGCCAGTCAATTCTTTAGTGTCGATGGTGGGTAGAAGGATGTTCCTGACTAGCTACCTAACTTCTGTCAGAAGTTCAGAATTTGTGGCAGTTAGCCTCAGTAGCTGTATCATAAATGTGAAGTATAAATACTGATAGCCTTAGTTAATGATCTGTAGATGCAAGTTTTATCCTAACAAAATCAGAGATACAAAAATCCTCAAACATACAGATGAATTTCATAAAGGATCAAGAGTGGCCTATGGCTAACAATGAATAAGACTATGAATCTGAAGTTCTATAGTTCACTGTCTATTGGTTAATAAAAGAAATCGCACTCCGAACTTTGTGGCGTTATAAGAGCGGCATTCAAATCCTACTATTAGCTTTGATTAGCTCACAAGTTGGTGGTAGTTGCTGTTGACAAGCTCAGTTCTTCCTAGTCATCAGTTCAAAATTAGAAACGACTAGCACAGATAGTCCTTGTGTAGATTTGTGAAACAAACCAATCATTTTATAAGCCTTACTATGTTTTTAGTGCACTGTCATTGCCTTTTTTTGTTTTGTTTATATCAAGAATGACAAGGTAAAAAAACAAACAAAATATAAACACGAAAATATGTTAAGCTGGAGCATCTTTTAACCATAAAATGCATTTGTTGCTCTCCACGCTACCTGAGGGTAAGAGATAGGAGTTTTCATTGTTAACAAAGATGTATTACTACACAGTTATAGCGGCACGAAAATATTGAAACTTCCTTCCTACAAATTATAAAGTAGAGCGATGTGTATAAAACTAATTCATGAAAAGGAGCTCACGTCCATCCTTTAAAAAAGATTCGAGGCTGCTTGTGACCCAGATTCAACTACAGATAGATTGGTTTCACCAGGCAATCTATTTCTCTCCTTGAGAAAGCTCACGTCGTCGCTGGCATTGGAAAAATTTTAGGTCATTAGTAATCACACTAGTCACCAGGTAGCGTATATATTGTATGAGAGTCCTGTACACTAATAGTAGAAATACTGATATTCGAAATTCTTTAAGAATATGTTTTTATAATATGTTTCATAGTATCTGTACTGGCACTTTTTGAATAGTATTTTATTGGGTCGATGCAGAAAACTGTTACGGTTTCAAAAGGTGTAAGGTTACAGTTTAAAAAGCTAGAAAAATTTATTAGCAATATAAAGATTTTTTTTTTTGCGACTAAGAATATTGTAAACACCAACCAGAAGATTATAAGCATCTCGATTTACCGTAAGCTATTTTTAATATTCTACCTAAACGTTTATTTCCTACGCGTGTACCAGAATTTTATTGTAAATCTGCTGTTTAAAAGTTAGATTATTAATAAAGATTGTATATGCTTTATTGAAATTACATGACACTTGACCGGGTATATGATGTTTTAATGTTTGTGGTTGGATCAATCTCATTTTCTTCATTAGAATTACACAAAATGGCTTGAAAGTAAATGATCGGTGGATTGTGAAACTGGTGTATTTGTCAAAAATAGGCGAATTTATTTCTCTTTTTGTCGTTGATGTTATGGTTTCCAACGCTTTATTTCATTCTCAAGTTACATGATAAAATTGTATATTTATTTTCCATTCTGAATGCACTAAAAACCTTCAAAGCATTGACTAATTGTAATAATTTCCTTAACGTAGAATTTTTGGAACGAAACATATGTATGTTCTCTCAACATTGGAAGGTGCGAAGAATGGCCTTAGTAGTAATTAATAACACTAGTAAACACACTCGTCGAACGTGTACTCCTACATATCCTCTATTTAATTTTGAAGGACAGAATTACTTGGCATTTAAACCTGTACATCAGATCTACATTTTTCTGAACGAGTTTTGTTTAAAGGCTGTAGTATTTTTCTTTTTATATCTTTATAACTAACTTTCTGACCCGATTTTCTGGCTTGAAACCTTGAGATAGTTCAGAGAAGCACAAGGACGACGGGCAGCTCTAGATTAGCCGATTCTTCGTTTCTACCTGACCAACCGATGCTATCATATAAATATAAAACTGAGTTGATTCTTTAAGCTTCTTTTGAGATTTTGTCGTGCAGTAGACTCCACCCTGGCGATTGTTAAACGCAGAACAATTTGAACAAGGCTAGAGTAGAACAGCGTGCACGTAAGTGATCCTGAATGTAAATATTAAGAATTTACTGAAAACTAAGTGAATTTATTTTAAATTCCTCACTGAGAATTGTTCTTAAGTGATCTCTATTTCTGTTTTATTTGTGCACTTGATAATTTATTGAAGAAATGTGTGAAGGTGCTGTAGTTCGAAAGTTTACGAGAATTGAAAACATGCAAGCATTATTGAAGTATCAACACAATGGACTATCTGTGCTCTACTCAACATGGGTATCGAAACCCGGGTTTTAACGTTATAAGTCCGCAGACATATCGCTGTGCCGCTGCGAGGCATCTAAAACCCGTCTCAAGAACAGGAGACTGTTCCAATATATTAGATAATTAAATAATTGATAATTTGTTTGTACAATTTCCACATATAATCAATCAAACTAAAATATATTTTTGTTAAAAATATTGAAATCTTCTCGCTACGCAGGACTTTTTACTGCAGTATAAAGTGTATAATTCAGTAAACAGTAAACTTTAGGATTTTCAGTGTCACGTTGTGTAAAATGGCGTTACGATTAAAGCGTAATTATAACACTCAGAGAACTATTGTATGATTTACGCAGAAAAACGTTTTCACTTAAAAGCGGATTTATAGGATAAACTAACATGTGTAGAATAAACTAAGGCAATGTACGGTTTGTGTTAATTACGCTCTGCAGATAACAGTGGAATTATCGGTTTATCTAGGAAAGCGTAGAATATATTAAGAAGGTGATGGACCTTGTGCGGCAATTTCCTTCTGTATGCATGAATAAATTTATTGAGTTGTCTAAGGTGTTGAATAAGCCTAAGAGTGTGGCATACATGTTCAGTAATTACGCTCTGTATACATGAATGGACTTATCGGGTTACCCAAGGTGTTGGATAAGTTAAGAGGGTGGTGGACATGTGAGATAATTACGTTCTGTACACGCGAATGGATTTATCGGGTTGTCTGAGGTGTTGGATAAGCTAAGATGGTGGTGGACATATGCAGTAATTACGCTCTGTATACGTGGATGGGTTTTTCTGGTTATTTATCTGGTTGGATAAGCTAAAAGGATAGTTGATTGTACGTGTTTGTTATATTTTGCATATATGAAGTTTAGAGATTTAAGTGTTCAAGATACTGGGTAGTTTCGATTTCAATGAATTGCGGCGTTAGTTTGATAGTTAAAGGGTGATTAAAAACAGCTTATTAAGTTCAATACCTTATTTGTGAATTTTTCATTTCTTCACCAAAACGTGTAATTTCAGTAAAGAAAAGAAACACATTCAAACATTTAAAGTGTTTTATATTGTTAGAGGTGAGTAAAGGACTATACGTCAAATCCTACAATTTCAGTATCTATAGAAACTTAAAAGCATGTTTTGAGTTGCTTTGTATGTTGTTAATTAAAACAAAGAAGGAAGAAGTGCTTCCTAATTTATCAATCAAAATTGAAAGTTAACACTAATACCATACACAATGAAAAACAATGCTTCGTGAACCTATGATATAGCCAAACATTTTAAACGAGTTATTTTCATTTACAAACTTAGCACTTTTAAAGCTTAAATAGGTTTATTGGTTGTTGTTAAGCACAATGCTGCACAATGGGCTATCTGTGTTGTGCCCACAACGGGTATCGAAACTCGATTTTTAACGTTATAAGTCGTCAGACTTTCTGCTGTGCCACTAGGGGGCTTAAGTAAGATTTCTACCTTTAACCATTTCCATGTCAGGTTTCTTTTGGGAAATGAGCTAAAAAAGTCGAGTTTTTTATTTCGCTTTTTGATAGCCTATATTTACATATTAATGAAACAAAAGTTATTTTATGATCTATTATTATATTTCTTCTCAAAATATACTCGATAAATAAATGGATTTATACTTGATATATATTAGTTCCATCAAACTACAGTAAAGGATAGAAATGGTTTTATTGTTATGTTTGTTATGAATTTCGCGCAAAGCTACACGAGGGCTGTCTGCGCTTGCCATCCCTAATTTAGCAGTGAAAGACTAGAGGGAAGGCAGCTAGTCATCACCATCTACCGCCAACTCTTGGGTAACTCGTTTAGCAACGAATAGTGAGATTGACCGTCAACTTGTTACGCCTCCACAACTAAAAGGGTGAGCATGTTTGGTGTGACGGGAATTCGAACCCGCGAGCCGCAGATTGCGAGTTGATCGCCCTAACCATCGCCATTGAGACGAGCACAAGCAGCTTTTACAATGCCATCTAGTGAGCAGTGATTGTAATACATGATCTAATGCGAATAAATTCGGGCAAATAATTAAAAACACGGCGAGAAATGTTTGGCGCGAATTAACTCGGGTAAATATTTTTTGAAACATGAAGGGCGCATCATTTATCTTGGGCAAATCACGGAAGGGGTTAAAGAGTTAGGTATGCATTATTTATGCTCCTATGTTAGTATTATACCTATAGTTTAAATGTTTTTATGTAGATTATCTATATTGCTGCTGCTGTACAAATTATTTAAGTATTGTTTATAAATTATTTGGTTTTATAAACTTATCTTTATTGTTATAAAAAATGAGGCAATTTCTTAAATATACCTAACCAACAGCAGTATTTTATTTAATAAACAATAAACTAAATTGCTCTTTTTGTTTTTTCAGTAATCACATAAAGACCTGTTTTTCAACATGATTACTTCAGATAGAGATTACAAATAATATTAACATAAGTAAAAAGGTAACTGTTAAAACTTTATTAATTATATAAGACAATAATCAGTTTTATCTGTTTTGCTTTTCAGGGGCTGATTCACACACCACGATGAGAATACTACTTTTATTCCTAGGTATTATACTCTAATTTATTTACTTCTGATGCTTTTGGAATTTATTTACATAATCATATAACGAGGCAAAGAAAAGAAACATTTTAATTTTTAACTGACAGTGTACTTTTGTGTTTTAAAAAGCACGGAAAGTGACAACACTGCTTTCGACCATGAATATAAAAATTCTGTTAGGTTTTGCATAAAGTATTTAAATTAGAATTAAACGGTTACATTTCATAATGAAGAAAATGTCTTTTTTCCTTACTTAACCTTTTATAATGTGAGCTGACCATTCTCCCTTTAGGTTTTACAACAGTAGTCTTTGGTCAAGATTATCTGTATGCCCAACAAGACAGTAATAACAAAGAACCACAACAGCTATTTGACCCGGAGAATTATAAATACAAACCACCTTCTGCAATTCAACCACCATTGCAACCTAAGCCTCGGCAACCTCCTCGTCAACGTAATCGTCAAAGATCTTATCAAAACTCACCACGACAAAATCAAGAATTATCTGGTAGACAGCCTCAAGGTCCACCTAAAAACGTTGTCTATCAGGAAGCTTATCAAGGCCAATCTCAAAATCCACAACAATATGAAGCCCGATCTAGTAGCCAAGCTACATCTGCACAACGACAACAGCAAGCTTCCCCTAGACATAGGTCGCGAGAGAGAGCTCGTCAAGAACAAGTCCAGCAGGTGGAACCTTACAACCACGGACTACCTGCGGCCACAGTTTCTGGTGGAAAATATCAGTCATTAGGTGAAATATACGCTCAGTATGAGCGAAGAGTCGAGGAATACGAGAGAATAGAGGAAGAGAAAAAGCAGGAGGAAGAGCAGCGCCGAAGAACCAGACCATCTCGGCACCATTCAGAACAAAGACGCCCAGCAGCGAGGGTCTCGACTCCCCGAGTTGCTCCTCAACCCCAGTCTGTGCCAGAGCCTGTTTCTTACCAGCTACAACCTGAACGTCAGGCTGCTTCCGTTTCTCGATCTAGTAGACCCCCTATTCAGCCTCAACAGATATCTGATGCTCAACAATATAACAGAAACCCTCAGCTTCATCCTCAGGATAACTCAGTTCCTCGCTCTAATAGACGTCCAGCTCGGCCAAGTCAGCCGTTGGAGGCTCCAAGATATAATGAAAGATCAGAAAACCAACGCCAAACCTACTCTCAACCACGTAATCCAGTGAACACTCAACAGTATAGACAAGCTCCAGCATCAAAGCCTCAACCACAGGCTGATTCTGGATCCGCCAGTTTAGCTGTAGCCTCTTTGCCACACGACTCTGATGGAGATGGTATTCCAGGAGAAGCAGGAAAAGATTATCCCACATTAAATTCGATCCCCTCGACATCATTTTCTTGTGGTCAACAACCACTGAATGGCTACTACGCAGACTTGGAAACAGCTTGTCAAGTAAGTATTATAAACATCCGTTATGCAATACTTTATATCACTTCTGCTCACTTCTGTGTCAAGACTGTTCAAGCCTTTCTTCAGAATTTGGATGGTGTCTATAAAAATAAACATTGGAGTAATTAAACGAGCTGTAACTTATGCGCCTAACATAGGGCAGAAGAGGCCCAAATTTTTCCAGTCAGTGTACATATATTCTTATCAACAACTACGTTATATTGACTTAGCCTTTTTTGTCCTCCCCCACTTCCCAACAAAGCTGGACAATCATGGAATGTGAGTATTTTCTTTTGCGCTAAAGAGATCTAAAACAAAATGTTGCGTTTAACTCACGTATTATTCCAACAAAACATCTCAGGTTTATTATTATGAATAATAACTGGTCAACTCTGGCTTTCCTTCTCAAGTGTCAATAAAAAATAAACATAAATATTTGTAATCAGCACGAGCAATTCTCGTTAATAAGTTCTTAGATTACATAAGCATTCTAATATTTCACACCGAATATATAAGACTTTAAATTTTTGTCCCAAGTATGATTTATAAAATCATATAATTATTAATATATTTTATTCTAATTAATAGGTGGTTCATCTTTGCCAAGCCGGGGGCGTTCAGGACAGTTATATCTGTCCAAATGGCACCATTTTCAACCAGCAAGTGTTTTCGTGTCAGTGGTGGTATAAAGTAGACTGTCGCAAATCTGCCCACTTCTATCAACTTAATGACAATCTCTATAAGGTCCCTGAACCTGTGAAAAAAGCACCACCTCCCCCTTCTCCTTCTCAGACTAGGCAAGACGAAAGCAGCCCAGACTACGAGTATTACTAAGAAAACGAAATATAAAGTACTGATCTATGCCAAAGGGTTGTTAAAAACAAAAGTTCTATTGAAATAATACGGTTAAATCATAATGTGTCACAAAAGACACAATACTCATATATCAAGATATAAAATAAAAAGATTGTTCCAATTTATCAAGAACTATCACTCGTTACTACTTAGGGTTAAAAAGAGTATAGCGTAGTGTGTCCTCTTAATAGAACAGCTATAAATATTTAATACAATTTTTATGAGCTTTAAAAGTTAAATGATGATTATTCCTCATTCTATTGACTTTACTTCTAACTAAATGTTTCGAAAATATTTCGTTTAAGAGGATATATTAATATCCAAAACATATGGCTTATAAAAGTTAAATATGCATTTTTTTTCCATCTTTTGAACTCTCATATTTATGTGTCTGTTTGGAATCAAATAATATAGATATTTACGTTACAAACTAAAAAAAACAGCAACAAAAGATTTCATCATCAAATAGTTTATCACTACTGAAAGAAAAATCTGAAAAAAAGATGCAATTAAACATGTGACTACTTTTAAGCTTATTAGCAACTAGACACAAAATCCAGGAAAAAACAAGCAGGTCAAGCGAGTGAGATTTTGAGTAAAAACTCCAATACAGTCTATGTGAAGAATAGGTCTCCTTGCCCTAAGTAATGTCAAATTGACACTTTGAAATAGCTGTATAAGTTATTGTAGACAATGATATATAGCCTACTTTCAATAAACTTGCATATTATACCTTGCTTTATCACCTTGGCTCACTGTGTCGTTTATCAAACACTAATATTTCTTCATCGTGTCGTGTTCACGATACAGGCAACGTTAGCGATTTCACAATTTCACAAATTGCAAATTTAATTGATTTGCTTCAAGAAAAAACCCGGCTATTTTGCGGAACTTCGAAAAATCACGATGTGTATCAATAAAAGGGAGAAATGAAAATAAATATAAAAACAGCAGTGTATAAACTATAAGAAAAAAAAAAGAGGTTTACTGAAAACACACACTTCGGGAATATTTTCAACTTCTTAGATCAGTTGGGAGGTATAATTAAGGCTTCAGTAGTAATTTAGAAACTTAAAATATAAACGATTTTAATACAAAGGTGAAATTTATATTATTTTTATTTTCATGAAAACGAACATAACATTCTGAATAAATGTAGACTGAACATTCTTTAAATTTCTAAGTTTAAATTTCAATATACTCCTGAAGCTTGGTATGAATCGAATCCAGTTTTATGTTTATCAGTACCTTGATGTTTTATTTTTAGAAAGAGAAGAAAGCGTTTCTAATGTTAGTGATTGTTACCTGTTGGTGGATGATTTACAAAACTTATAGCTCTAGGCCCGGCATGGCCAGGTGATTAAGGCACTCGACTCGCAATCTGTGGGTCGTGGGTTCGAATCCCCATCACACCAAACGTGCTCGCCCTTTCAGCCGTGGGGGCGTTATAATGTGACGGTCAATCCCACTATTCGTTGGTAAAAGAGTAGCCCAAGAGTTGGCGGTGGGTGGTGATGACTAGCTGCTTTACCTCTAGTCTTACACTGCTAAATTAGGGACGGCTAGCGCAGATAGCCCTAGTGTAGCTTTGCGCGAAATTCAAAAACAACCAACCAACTTATAGCTCTACAATGTTTTATATCTTGTAACTACAAATATAACTTTACAGTACCCTATTTTCTTCAACTGCAGTTCTACATTACCATGTCTTCTTCATCGATTACTTTACAATATCGTATAAACTACAGCTATGGCAATACAGTAACATGTCTCCTCCAACTTTGGGTGTGTATTATCATGTCTTCTCCAACTGTTGGTTTACAATATCGTATAAACTACAGCTATGGCAATACAGTAACATGTCTCCTCCAACTTTGGGTGTGTAGTACCATGTCTTCTCCAACTGTTGGTTTATAATATCGTATAAACTACAACTATGGCAATACAGTAACGTGTCTCCTCCAACTTTGGGTGTGTATTATCATGTCTTCTCCAACTGTTGGTTTACAATATCGTATAAACTACAACTATGGCAATACAGTAACATGTCTCCTCCAACTTTGGGTGTGTAGTACCATGTCTTCTCCAATTCTTGGTTTATAATATCGTATAAACTACAACTATGGCAATACAGTAACATGTCTCCTCCAACTTTGGGTGTGTAGTAACATGTCTTCTCCAACTGTTGGTTTATAATATCGTATAAACTACAACTGTAGCTGTCAGTATCTTACCTACTATTACCAGTATAGCTTTACAGTACCATGTCTTCTCCAACTAAATTTAGCACATTAAAAGTACAGCTTTACTTTTTATTTACAGTACCATGTCTTCTCAACTACTGCTTTATAATATCGTCTAAACTACAACCTTAGCTATCAGTACCTTACCTACTATTACCAGTATAGCTTTACAGTACCACGTCTTCTCAGCTACTGCTCTATAATATCTCTCGGAGTTACAGCTCTACAGTTCCATATCTGTTATTGCTCGTATGGTTTTACAATGACATGTTTTTTCCAACTTTTGTTTTACAGTGCTATGTATTCTCCGACTACTAGTTTACAGTATATTTTACAATATCTGCTATTACAAGTATAGCTTTACAATGCCATTTTTCCCAACTATAACTCTACAGCATTAAATCTTAACTACAACTGTAGCTGTACAGCACCATATCTGTGATAATGAAGGTTAATCGCACGTTATAAAGACGTCTTACAAGTTTCATGTTACACTTGGATCCACTCCTTCCGTCGTTAATCATCTTCAGTCTGATGGTCATGGTGACGTACTATTTTGTCTGGCACTACGATTTATATCGTAACAAACTTCTGGGAAGGACAGCGAAGTCAACCTTAGATCACATATCTTGACATTTTCCCCACATATCCGTTATTAAATGTGGCTCGAATAGAACTGCTATGATTTTGCGCCGTAATTTTCATGAAAAGAACCGTTGAATTCATGATATGGTTGGAAACTTGTAAACTACTAGCATATGAAGCTTCGTCACCTTTAGATCTTTGTTTATTATGTTGCCAACGGTACCAGGAGATATGCACAGTTTCATTACAGCTCTTTTTTCGGTCGGATGGTTTGGTCATTACTAGGCTTAAAGTTACACAATAGGCTATCTGTGCTGTGCTCACCGCGTGTATTGAAACCCGATTTTTAGCGATATAAGCCTCCAGACTTGCCGCTGAGACACAAGAGAGCTGGTGGGAGGATAACATCTCTTTTTAACTGTAGGCCATATACATGTGACGTCAGTCTCTTCCGGTTACAGGATTGTAACACGATATTGGATGGAGATAAAGAATTAACAGGTGCAAAGTATAATTATCAACTTTACTTGAGAAAAAAATGAAAGAGAGAGAGAGACCAATTTCCCGCTGTGCAGTGAAATGCCACAACAATGCTGGTGGATAACCATATCTGTTGTTTTATACGCTACCAGCAGCCTCAGTTGACTCGATTAGACACGATAAATGAGTCACAGATACATGTAGAAAGAACTGTAAGAGATTGTTCATCACTCTGTAACTGTTGCCTCGCATTTATACGTTTCTCTTTGTCAACAGAAAAATAAATAGTAGTCATTTATCAATATGATATTAATTTTATTATATGCAATGCACTTCGCCATTTTTATAATCAAACCAATTAACAGAGAAAATATGTTTATCTTCCTAAAGCATGTATTTGAGAATTTCAAACTGGTATTGTGTATTTTAAATTCATAAATTTTAATATCATGTAGAACTTATGCCTACTTCTTCAAACGTAAAACAAAGTACAACGTATCATGATTATAGATGTCTTTTTTCGTCATTTAGAAAACCGTTATTATGTGTATTCTAAGTTCAACAATTTTGATATCATGCATGCATCATGTTTCCCTTCATCTAATAATATAGTACAATATACATATACCACGAATTTTCTTTCTTTCTGTAGCACATATTTTATAACCGATAAACTTCTGGAATAAAAGACAAAAGGAATTTCAGACGGAAACGGTATAATTCATATTACACAGATAAATCTGAACTGGGGGAAGTGAAACACTATGATGCTAGAATTAAAGTCAAATCAGACGCTATACTTACAATTGTTTCTGGGGCAGATAAGATGAGTAGCTATCAAATTGTGCATAATGGAAAACTTCAGCGAAATCGACGTATCCGAAGAGGTCTTTCGAAAAAAATCGAGAAAATAAATTTGGTGTTTCAGTTACTGCTGTTTACGATAGATTATGAAATACAATTTTAAAACTTTATTTATGAATAATTTAGAACTAATTACTGGGTGTTTTCGTAATACTTGTATCTAGTTACAGCCTTTCTGTACACGAAAAATGCTACATCAATCGGATGTACTTCAATATCGACGACAATTCAATGTACGTCTGTCATGTTGGGTTGAAAAGTTCACGTAGGTATTTTGTACATATAAAAGCACAAACATTTGATTTGGAATTAATTTTGCTAAACAAAAGCTAGGCCTAGACGTACTATAACATTGATATATTATTTATTTTATGTATATTTTATCCAGTCCTTAACATCCAATTTTTAAATTAATGTAATATATAGGCTTATGCCCGAAGCACTGTGCAATGTTGATAAGTCATCATGCCTTGAGAAATTAAAAAAATAATAATCAGAAAAGAACTCTAGCGACTAATATATATATGCCAATGAAAATAATTGCAGAAATATTTCGTCAATCGCAAGTGCGAATCGTATCAAGAAAATGCTAATAATTACGAAATACCTTGCTGACATGTAGCTTGTTCTATGTTAATTTATCATACCATGAGTAATACTTGGCTGTCTTTGACGTAATCTGGTCACATAAGTAGAATGTTATTAAACTTAGGGAAAAGTCCGTAATTCTGAATATAAGTGCAAATAATGAAAACATTGTGCATTTTAATATTAATTTAAACGTATTTACTTTGAATGTATACTGTTGTAGGCTATGTTTTTAACATTTTAATTTAGAAGTTTTGTATTGTTTACTAATGGGAGTTTTGGCATGATGTAATGATGATGTGTAACGCCTAGAAATTTCCATAGCATTTTCTAGATAGTTGAAGAAAAAAACATTATAGAACTGTTGATAAATTATTCAGAAAGTACGTTAATCAATAACTGGGTCAGTTAGTTAGTGCAGTACTGTGCGCTTTTGCATTTGTGTCATAGATACAAGGAGATATTTAAAAAATACACGACTTTAGTTTCATTTGTGAATTACGCCAGTTGCTTGGTTGTCGTCAGTTATTGAAGCTATTTAACTCCTAAAACTTTCAATAGGAAATAAAACGATTTCCTTTTCGTTAAATGAACTGAACTTTACCCTATTTTTACCGAATGATAAAAAAGAGCCCACCAACGAAAAATCCTGATACAAAAATATACGTTTGGGCATTTGAATCCAATTGACTCAGAATAAATCAAAGAAAAAAATGGGGTTTATATGCTTTAAAAGTTTTCCATTTTCAACTTTGCATTTAACTTCGTCAGCTAATTTCTTTTGGAGAGGGTATTTCACTCTGAGCACGCCCACTTTTGTTTACGCTTAATTTTGAAAACCAATTATTCACGATGAAAATTATGTATGGAGCAAGTTTCGGAATTTTATGTAACGGAAGTTTTGACTGGATCCCATTTTAGGCAGGAACGAATACCAATAACTTAGATGACGAGGAACCCACTTTGAGACTAATAATGCTTGGAG